AAATCAAAACCATACACGCACATGCACTCTACCTTCTCACAGATATACAGACCTAGGGGTAGGAACACACATTACAAGAGAAGCGTTATAGAGTCTACAGGAAAACTACTAAAGTAGCTTTCTGTGAGCACACACTAATCCTCCCACTGAGTCCTCCCCACTTGTTTTAAGAGCTGTTTGTTGAGCATGAGTTGGTGGCACCCCGAACGTTTGGAGCGGAACTCGGAGCCTTCAGCAGCTCCACCAGCACTAGTTTCTGCCATCATAAAAGCCATGTCCATGCCTCAGCTAAAAGCAGGAAGAACTCAACCATTCAGACATCTGTCACAAAACCTCTAGTTCAGACTCTCTCTAAACTCGTCGTTATACTCGGTTGATGAACTCAATCCTACAGTCCTCGGGTCACAGCAGGAGCTGTGTAGGAGGCAGAGGGGTGCTGATACTGCTATAATTTATGTTCCCTGCTGGGGAAATTTCTGTTAAGAGTGAGCTTTGTTCACTCTATTATTTTTAGGACAGTTTGTAAGAATGCTGCTCTGGTCAGTAGGAGACTGATACGAGTTTTTCTTTGGAGTGACTTTTTCAGAGAAAAATATCGTTTCTATAAAAGAGAAAGTTTTGGGTTTTTTTACTAGAAAAGTCCAATTCTAGATTTCTGATCACCCGTAAAATTAATAAACTAGCTTTTTACCAGAAATATTACATTGATCTGTCTATACTCCATGAATGGCAATACCTCTTTGCTTTGCCTTTCTTTAACTGGTCTGAAAGGCTTCACTTGGAATTGGTTCAAAACATTGTGTTGGATTGCAGGTAGTCCTTGGCTGCTCAGAGAGCTGTTGTCTGATGTGCTCATCCTCTTCTGCTGGACTCTAAGGCCTTGGCCTTCCCATATGGCATTACAGCTCTCCTGGAGGTGGTGCTGTGTCACGGGACACCTCGGTGTGTGCTATGGGAACTGCCTTCCAGCCAGGGAGTCTGACCCAGAAGTGAGACCAGAGTTATCAGGCTGCCAAACTGCAGTGTCTGAGGCAACACAACGTTGTGGGAATAAAAGCAGTTCAATAGTGTACTGACTCAGAACAAAATTTCTCAGGTCAGGTCACCAAACCAAAATGAACCAACTTTGGTTTCAGTAATGTAAAAATATTCCATTTCAAATGACAGAAAATGTACTGATGTTCACAAATAGGTTTCTCTTTTTTTTTTTTTTTTTTTTTAAACTTGTGAACTTCCGTTCTACAAAGAGTCTCTAATTTCAGTTTTTCTCCCTGAATTGAGATGAGAGCAAATGTTGAAATACTGGAATTTCTTCCTTTCTGGAGAGCAGGCAGCTGAAGAGTATGAGCAACCAGTTTCAGGGTTAGGACAGCTGACTCTGAAGACCCGTACACTGGAGCAGAGCAGGTGATGGTGAGGCAGAGAGGTGATGGAAGGGAGGGGAACACACAAGCAGAGGGAGGGAAGTAGAACACATCAATGTGAAACAGAATGAGAGCTAGAACAGAAGAGAAGGAAGAGAGATCAGAAGTTTCTGCTTGGCTCCCTGGCCTGTAGGAACAGCTCCATTTTTGTGCTGCGTTAGGCTGTTGGCTGTGCCGAGCTCAGCACCTTCTGCTTTGCTGAGTGCCCAGCAGACAGGCGAGCTGGTGCCGCGCTGAGAGCTTCTGTCAGAGGGAGCTTGAAGGGCTTCCAGAGAGGGCAGGATGCGGGTGAGGTGGAGCTGGATGCTCACACCAGTGCACTACCAGGCAGCGCTGCGTGGTTTCACTTCTGCTTACGGAGCAGTTAAATCTTTCCGTGCTAATCAAATGGGGGGTCAGTGCAGGACCAAAGGATGAGCATTTCTCAGTTCTCATCCAGGCTCTGGGAAGAGCACTGGAGTCCTTGCAAATTAGAGGATCTCTCTGCCTCCAAGTCTTTTTCTGCAAAGTAGAAAGAACGGGAACGCTCTTTTCTGGTGTGACTGGGAAGGAGCACTAGTGAATGTCCCTAACACACTGCGAAGTGTTTATTATGCTGATGCTTAATATTTTACAAGTTTCTTAACTTTTTTTTTTTAACTGTACCAAATTGATACACTCCATCCGTCAGCAATGCCCTCCAGGAATGAGTAGCTAATTAGAGAGCAGGACTTGTGAAAAGACAAACCTGGGTTATGCACAGAACAGGTTTCTCCAGTATTTATTGCCTACGTTACTGGCCAAGCTTCCTTGTAAGTAATAGTCAAATAATCGGCCTGGGTCCTTTTGTGAATGGTTTGAGTCTGTGTGGTCCTCCTTTGTTAGAGCAGCTCATGGTTTCTGAAAGCTTCTGCACCCCCTGTTCTGAACAGCAGAGCCTGGTGGCACCAGCTGCTTCTGCCTGGAACAAACATTTGCATGTGACATTAAAAAAAAAGCCAATTTCAAAACGTATTTGCTTTTCCTTATCCCCTCATTTTTCAGCCCTTCTTAAAACACTGGAAATATTTAAAAAATGAATATATTTAGCTTTTGCTACAAGCATCTTTTAAACAAGTCAAGCTTGAAGAGGAAAGAGAAATCTTTCCTTCAGAAATGAAACAGCAGCCAGTGTTTGGAAATATTTTAACAATAGACCATATGGGAGTCCCAAACTATTAAGCTTTATTATTCAGAAGGCGGAAAATGTGGTTTGATATTCAATTGATATACAGCATAAATGAGAGCCGCAAACTCGTCTCCCTTGAGCTGGGATTCAGATGTTCTCTTGAATATAATAACTAACGCTTTGGCCTAGTTCCACAGAATGCATCCAGCCTGCTGATCACAAGCCAAGAAACTGTAGGCTTTTTTTCCTCCTTCCCCTCTCTTTTCCAAAGTACTTTCCTCTCCTGCCAGCGTGAGCTTTTGGCCTGAATATAAATCTCCTGATATTAGATGCGTATAGAAAATGGGGAGGATGCTAATAGCGCACAGCAGTAGAGCTGTGTGTGTGTGCATGTGTGTTTGTTTTTCTTCTGCTTTAATGATGGTTTTCCCTTCGTGATGTGCTGTCAGGGGATCACGTTGGTCATCCAAGGTGGGAGGCTTTGTTGCTGTTTCACTGTTTCTCAGTGCTGTGGAAGCAGGTGAACATCATTCAGGGTTACTGTGAAGTGGTGCCAGAGACCATGAGAGTGTGGAATTTGTTGGAGAGAGACTGGAAGTGGTTTCAGTTCCTTTTTCTTTTTTTTTTTCCTCCTGATTTGACTTGCATATATTTATAATTGCCCTTTCTATCATGTCTTTCTTCACTTTCTCTCCTATGGGGAACCCATAAAAAGAATCCATAAAAGTTGCTTATAAAATATTACACACATGGACTAAGATTGCCTATTTGCAAAGGGAGGCTCATAGTTACACAGATTCTGTGATCCAGTTGTGGCAGGCTGCGTCACCTGCTATTTTCTGACACAGGATCCCTCATTCACTCCATGTACGGGATGGACCAGCTTTGTCAGTGTGAACGTGGGAGGTGTGGTATGAATAAGGAGTTGCAGAGACAGAAGGAATGGTCTTGCGGGTCCAGCAGTTGAATGCTGCCCCAAAGTGCTGAGTTCTGTGCTGTCTTTGTCAGAGAGCTCCTTTGAGATGCCAATATCATCCTTGGAAATGACTGAACTGTGTCCGCTCAAACTTTCTGCCTTATGCCCCACACCAGAACCCAACTGTATGGGCAAAGCCCTCAGGCATGGAAAATCATGCAGATGGTCATGTGTTAAGCAAACAGTGATGTTTGTTAGTGCAAATGATGATGTGTCAGGTATACCAAATCAAGTCATACTCTTAACAGCCTAGAAGCAACCTTAACAGAGTGTGTTTTGTTTCTATTCTCTTCCTATAACACATGCAACATGAGATGGCTTTGTATATATTTTAAGTTGTAGGTGTTCAAAATTTTTCTCAGATTTTTTGTGCAGCAGGACTTGACAAATGTCTATAACTCTCCCCCAGTTTTGTGACAGGCATCCTCAGCTATGTTGGGTCTTATCTTTTCTAGCCTCTCAGAATCTGAAGTCAACCAAGAAACTTCTCTATAGTCTGTGATTTCCTCTGAGTAGGCTGGGAGATTTCAACATTAAGCTATCTGGCATTTTTCTCTATAAGTGTGGTGAGCCCAAGGAAAAGACTTTCACGTTACGTGTAAGTCCAGG